AGTGTTGTGGATAGTTTGTCCCCACACACACACACACACACACACACACACACACACACACACACACACACACACACACACACACACACACTGCCGTGACGTCCAGTAGTTCATCCATCTAAAAGCTTTCCGCTGTCCTCAGCAGGCTGAGAATACAGTGGTACCGCTGAGGACGCCGTCGGGATTCTGATTCGTTCATAACAATGTTTCCCAAAGGAAATCATGTAAAGTGAATACATTTGATCCAGTGGGAAACTCTCACAATAAAAACAGTTCAGGCAATGTTTTAAGTAATATTTTATAGTCATAAACTCTCAGACAAATTGGGGTAAAAACAAAAGAAAACCCCAACTGCTTTGATGATGTGTAACAAACATGACTACTGCTACCTTGCAGATCAATTTCCAGTTCTCGAGTTAGGATTAGGTTTCATCATCCTTAAGTGGTAGAGTTACAAAACACACACATGTGTACACGAAAGGCACCACTTGAGTTACTTCATCGAGGTGGTGGTGGTTTGAACTGTGGATTTTTATGTGCCCTTATGCCCGCCACATAGCGAAGAACGTGGCCCAACCTGACTGAACAGTCACATCACATGCAGGGTTTGGCAAAATATTTTTCACCAGTGGTTGACATTCAGCTACTTATTTTGTTGCGATTAAAAATTGGCGTCACAGCACCTCATAAGTAACAGCCTATCAAAAACATACATACGCTGTCACAAATAAAAAATATGATCATTCACTCACTCACATTCTTAGCATCGCGAGGTATGCAACAGGACTTCGAGGCGTATTTTGCCTGACTGACTTCAGAGATTTTAGCTTATTTGAAAGGCTCATGTCAACCAGTAAAGGTTAGTCATTTCAAGAGAATTCTGTTTTGTCTTTTTATTTAAGATTGTTTTTAAAAAATGATAATCTTAACACTTATACTGCTCTCTTGCAGGTCACATGGTCTCCACCTCTGAGTCCCAATGGCGAGATCCAAGGTTACGAGATTCGTCTTCCAGAGCCCCGCATCTTCCACAATGGCGGCAATACATCCGAGCTTGCCGTCACAATAACGGACCTAATTCCTTACACAAACTACAGCGTTAGTGTACTGGTGTGTTCCAAGGGGGGTGGATATGTTGGTGGATGCACAGAAAGTCTACCTTCTCCGGCGACCACATTACCGACCAGCCCCCAAGGCCTGGCACCGCTTTCAGTGGTGGCCATCAGTGAGTCCTTCCTTGCGGTCTCTTGGCAACCTCCGCACAGGCCTAATGGACCCAACATCAGGTTAGACTCATATGCATACAATGTTTTGTTAACATTGAAGCGATTTTTTTGAGGAGTATATAATAGTGTATTGAACGTGAGTAACAAAAAAGGGTTTTTTTTTTGTTTTGTTTTTTTTCCCCCCCAAATCTGCCTGCTCTTTATATACTCAATTAGACCTTGAATGGGCACCAAACTGGCTACAAATATAAACTTTTACCATATAAATATACTCTATTTGCAGCACTTTTCTGTTTTGACCTGCATGTGCTTCTGTGGCAACAAGTCCCAATTTACAAGTCGGTTGTTCTTTGCAGGCAATTAAAATGCATGAGCCCACGTCTGTGTTCTGCATAGCTCAGCTCCGTGTGTTTGTCTAAGTGGGCTGGTTAAAAGGTGGCATTAAGCCCTTCTTTTCTGATTACAGCAGAAATTAGCATCACTGTGGGGAGAGGAAAACACAAACCCTGCAGAAAAACACAACACAGAAGGAGGGAATGATGAGTTGCAGTCAACGTAAACGAACAGCGAAATGAAAAGCAGGCAGAAAAGGAGGAAATTTGTGATAAGGACTTAGCTGGAAATTGTGTATTAGTTGTTGGGTTTTTTTTGTTGTATTTTTTGTGTGCGTGTATGTGCTAAAACCAAAACTGTGCATGTGTTTTATGCATTCCTCAGCATCTAACCCTACGTATACGTTTTTCAGATACGAGTTGTTGCGACGTAAAAGCCAGCAGCCTCTGGCCGCCAATGTGGTCCCCATAGTAACCACCCCATCCCATAACCCTTCCGAAGATCTCCATCGCTGGTTCCGTGTTTACTCCGGCACCAAATTGTTCTACCAAGATAAAGGCCTAAGCAGGTGAGATTACTGAAATGAGCTCTAGAGCAAACGCGGCCAGCCGTGTGTGCAGAGCCGATCGGCGAGTTGCGGCTGATTCCGATCTTTTTAATACCGCTCAAAGATACATGAAGCAAATATTCCAAAGAATTAAATTGTTTTTCACGCAGCGTCACCCTAATCTGACTTTGGCACTTGGTGCAAGATGATGTTTTCTGTTTTTATGTTTTGAACTCCCACTTTGCTCACTCCGGGTGTACTCTTTGCAGTTACCTTACTCTTTTTGTAACAAGTGACATACTCTGTGAACTCGTCGGCACTTCTAATCATGCCGGTTGCTTTTCATTGATAGCTCGGAGAAACTACAATGACCTTTTTTTTTTTTGTTAATGATTGTATTGATCCATAGTATACCGTTTTCCAGAAGATCATCATTTTTAGCCGGCTAACAAAGTGTCATCCACGTTTAAATTATTAAATTATTTCTGCGCAGCTGGCACAGCTCCTACTCTACCTCCCTGGAAGTTTCATAAAATGCCTCAAAAAATAGTTACAGTATCACCGCAGCTTTTGTTTATCTGAGTATGCATGTAGATGTACAGTATCAGCATCAGTATTGATATCGTTATCGGTACATCCCTAGTTGTAAACATACTGCTATCATCTCTCACCAGATTCACCCGCTACCAATATCAGTTAGTGGTTCGCAATGATTTTGGCTTCGCTTCAGGAGAAATTGTCACTGCGGTCACCATGGCTGGGATTCCTCTCCAAAGTCCATCTCTATTTGCATCTGCTGTCAATCACACAGCGCTTCAAGCCAACTGGACCCCACCCTGTGAGAGTGCCACTGACTGAAACATTGTTTGACATGCTTACTTCTTTATGTACAACCTGTTCAGGGTAATACAAGAGGGTCCAAGAATGCTGATTATTCTAGTGGGGATTTGTAGTTTAAAATTCAGCTCTTGTACTGGATCTCGTTGGATTGTGCAGGTGTACCTAATGAAATGTCCAGTCTGTGCACAACACATGGTAATTACGAATCAGAAAAATCTTTGACGTATCGTTTTAACCGATCTCTCCGTCCTTCCGCAGCGTTGCACAACCTGCAGGGTGAAGTGGAGTCATACTTTCTTTCCATCGTCTCTGCCAGCTCGAGGCAAATCTTTGTCTTTCCCCCAGAAATCCTCTCCACAGTTGTGACTGACCTTTGGCCCAGGACCACCTACACCGTGTCATTACACGTGTCTAATGGTGCACATAATACAACTAAGTCGATAGTTAACGTCACCACAGAAGATGGAGGTATGTGAATTTATCTATGCCGATTGATACTAAACAAGGCCTCCAAGACTTGATTATTAATTCACCTGTGTGTGTGTGTGTGTGTGTGTGTGTGTGTGCGTGCGTGCGTGCGTGCGTGCGTGCGTGCGTGCGTGCGTGCGTGCGGGTGCACTAAAGTGATATTGTTTACAAGTGTCGAAGTGAGTGGTGCTATTGCACCGAGTGCGTAAATTCAATACACTTTTGCTAAGTGTCTGTGTTAATGTGCATTTCACTGTGTCTCGGTGCTTCATGGGAGATGTTAAATACATGTAGCCAGGCATGAAATCAATACGGTGTGCGCATGTGAGGCAGATTTAAAGTGTTGTAAAAAGCTTGTCAGCGGCGCACAGACGGAACACACACAAAGTACACGCGGAGCCAGACGACAAACGGGGCTACCCAGCATGCATCGCTTTAGCTTTCTGTCAGGGTCATTCTGTGTATTTTTGAAAAGAAGAACAAAGAACAACATGAATACTAAGACACGTTGACCTAGATTAGGTCCACTATATCTTTAATATTGAGGATTTAGTGTGAGCTTCAGAACTGCGTTGAGTCTGACTGCGGTATTTTGAAATTTTGACACTCATATAGATATACAGTAATACCTAACTGAAATATTAGAAATTCGTGCATTGTAGTTCTGAAACATTTGATCAGGTTAGATCGTTCCGAATGTTTGTTTTTCTCCCTTCTGTTGAAATAAAACTTAGACTTCATTATTCATTGTTGGAGCTTTACAAAAATAGCACTCGGCGTCATCGTCAGAGGGCGTTATGTACTTTCATTTGTGATACATGTATTCTTTTTTTTATTCGTTATTGAAAATTCCCCCGTTGTGCAACTCAAAAGTGATCTTGTCTTTCTTTCCTTTCCGTTCGCTCTGACCGTGGCTTTCTGTGTATTACCCCTCTGTCTTTTGAAGTGTAATCGCACACAGATGCCTTTCTTTTCCTCGCTCATCTGAGCAGTAGATTAAAAAGTGCATCAAGACCATTGGTGCTAAATGCAGAGCATGACTCGTTTAACTAAAAGGAATTCTAGTTTAGTTTTTTTTCCTTTTGTCCATAAGACGTCATACACTCACGTGACCAAATATAATTGAACAAAAAACCAGCACCTTTTTTGTCATAAAACAAAAGGGCAGTGCCCAGCCATTAGTTTGTTCCATTTACACTTTTATTTAGAAAAATGAACCCAAACAGTTCAGAGGTAGCCAGTACAGACAGAAAGAACTGCATTCTCCAGACTTTTCATTCGAACTCCCAGTTTTTGACACTTTTACAAGTCTGGTCTTGTGATCCCAAGATTAGAGCTGTTTCAAAGCATTTAAAATTTTTAGCACTGTGGATTTTGTGAAACGGTTTATATGCGCTGTCATCAAATCAGTGCGGCTTGAATATGTGGGAAGTTGTGTTATCCCGTCCTTGTTTCTCTTGAAACGCTTGTGCTGATGATCAAGTCTCAAACCCTTACTTTGCCTGAGCTCAATGAAGTTTTCGGGTTCACCAATCCTTAGAGCCAGATGGGATGTCTGCCCCAGAAGTGGTTCCAGTTAACAGCAGCGCCGTTCGTGCACTCTGGTCACCTCCTCTACAACCTAACGGAGTCATTACTGCTTACCGAGTTTACATTGATGACCGCCTCCGTGTCAGTTTGGACAACAGCTCCGGGTCCTTCCTGCTGGGGAATCTGCTGCCTTTTACTGTTTACAACATTCAGGTACACACACCGACATACAGAAAGTGCAGCGTTGGGTGTTTCCTAATGAGTGTCTGTTCTATTTCAGGTGGAGGTGTGCACCATTTATGCATGTGTGCGGAGTAATGTTACTCAGACAACCACAGTGGAGGACTTACCCGCCGGCATGACCACACCGCATGCTCAAGTACTCAGTCCGAGGTGATGCCGTATATATTTTGACACGTCAGAGTGTTTGACTGAGTACAGCCACACCTCACCTTTGTCGTCATCATTTTTTTTGGCACCTCTCAGGGTTGTCAAGTTGGACTGGGCACCTCCAAGCCGACCAAGCGGCATCATGCTCGGTTATGATGTCTTAAGACGGACCTTTGGGGCATGCGGCTTGAGGTCCGAGGGAGTCACGCCCGATGAGAGGAAAGCGTCAGAAGATGGGGGCAGCATCATTTTCGGCTGCTCTTTCTTACAGTGTCCAGCTACTCATTCTGTGTGTGGGACTTCCTGCTTCCAACCTGACCAACAGGTGATTAGGGCCAGATGTATTTTGTCCTGTTCTTCTTGAAAGCTTTTGTGCTTTTCTTTTTGTTCTTAAAAGTGAGATTACAGGCGGTCGCCAATTTTTTAGGGCGGTAAATGGCATTGTAAGTCGAACGTTGTTGTTCATACCTGCATTTGGTTGTCATTTGTTGCGCGTTCACTGAATGCACAAACATTATGAATCAATTCATGAATTAAACTGTGATAATGTACACAGTAAACCAAATGACTACACTGGATTTGGTCTGTTGTCAAGATCCCTCAAACCTCAATGCAAGATTAATATTCTATCAAGGAGTGTTGTAAAAGCAGGAAAAATTAAAATTACACAAGAAAAAAAACCCCAATGCTTTAAATATTATGACTCCCAGATACTTTTGTTTGTAAATTTATGACTTTCCAATCAAGTATTCATATTTTAGTATTCAGAGTCAAGGATGTGTGAGGTCACAATTTTCAACCCCTTTCCTTTCAACTTTTAGAGGTTATTGTAACGAGCAACGAAAAAAAGCCTCCATGATTTCTTCCACTTAAAAATGCTAGGCCCGACGTTCATATTCGTACATCAGCTTTGTCATCAGGGGCCCTCCTTTGTCATGAGCGAACACCGTTGTTGACTTGATTTCATCATGATTTTTTGAACCAGGTTTGCTGCGCTGGAATCTTGTACAGGAAAAAGCCACATCATTACTGCTGTGTGGAAAACTACCTGAGCTTTCCAAATTCCACCAGCCCAGTCTGTTGCAACGGCAAACTGTTGCCACCTCTCGCTCGCCACCACTGTTGTGGAGGATACTACGTATACCTTAAAGCTGGTATATTCAATAGGATGTCTTCTTTTCTACTTTGGTTTCACTTTACAGCAGTTCCCTTCATCCGACCTTGTCTATGTAGATGAATACTGCTGCCCTGACCACTCGCAGGGCCGCTTCTCAAGGGGGCCTGGGGACAGCTGCTGTGGGGGCGCTCCCTACGCCACCAAAGGCGGACAGCTGTGCTGCGGTGGGAGCCTACATGATGGTTACGGAGTCCAGTGTTGTGGAGGCCACGTTGTAGATGATGCACTGGTCTGCTGTGGTGGTGCTGAAGAAGGACAAGTGCATGCGTATATTCCAGGTGAGAGAATAGAGAGCACATCGTTTGACAAAGCACAGCAAGCAAACAGCAGCAAACAGATGTAATAGGCTAAAAGAAAGTGATGCCAAAATATATGCTATAAAAACAGACTCCGCCAAACTTGTAATATATAACTTTGCTGCATTCATCTGAATGTCAAAACTGAGGCATATGCAAATGCTGTGTTTTTATAGAGGTGTTCAAGTCAGTGGTCTCCCATATAAGAATTACTGTCTGCTATTGTTTTTAAGCCTTAAAGGAACAAAAAAAGAAGAGTTTTGACGAGAGAAACAGACAGAGAAGAATGAAGCATCAGGGGAAGAGGTAGACACATGGTGCAGGAACGCGAGGTCATTTCCCTTTCTTTCCTCCTGCAGTGTCCCAAAGCACCCGGCTAGCATGGCACAGATGGGACTGTGCGTGTGTGTGTGTGCGCTTATTTTTATATGTGTGTGTATGTGCATATAGGTGAAAGTGTGTGTCATTAGACATCTCTGTCATGGCAGATGATGATGAAACACACTCTGGATGGCTCAGTTGAGGGCATTGCCAAGCACACAGCAGGACAAATAACACACACATTCTCGCTCCTCTTCGTGACACACACAATTTCACACACACATACACTTATGAGACACACACACACATGCATACACACACACACGCATACACACACACACACACACACACACACACAGGGTAAGCTCTGCGGGGTTCACGTAGTGTTGTGTGCCAGAGACAGACACATGGACTCTATTCATCACACATGAGCAAAGGCCCCATTTGTATACGGGCCTACCATTCTTTATTAGCCTGGAACATTTCAGATCCTTATAAACGTACACAAAAGCCAACAGACAAATTTCTAGGGATGCATGTTATCACTTTTTTCTAAGCCATTCACGGCTATGGCATTGCCATTTAGACTTCCTTTCAAATTTTTTATTTCAAATATCACCTTTGCGTTTGTGTCTAACTTTTTCCACCCTCGCCGCTCCATCCTCTGGCCTTGTGTTCCTCCACACACATCGAGCCACTTTTTCTTCCTCCTCTTCTCCGCCTGCTCTTCCCCCTCCTTCTCTTTTCTCCGCCACTCATCAGTCATTAGCGTTAGCTTCCCCATTGAGAGCATATGGTATGATGGATCGCAGAGCTAGCGGCGCTAGCGAGGCTAAGGGCCATTTGCCGGGTGCGCCGCGGTGTGGGGGGAGCCCTGGGGCCAGCGAGGCAACCTCGACCCCACACGTCTGCTTCGAGACCCTCCCAAACACAACATGCTCACCTATTATGGGATAGCCTGCTTAACCTTGGCACAGGTCACTCACGATGCGCTCTCGCGCCATGTTGACGGATTTGAGGTTTTAATGGCAAACCGATTAGTGGCAGACATGTTAATATCCATTCATTGAAATGTACGGATCAACCAACGGGAAAAAAAAAAAAAAACAATTTGGAGAAAAAAAAAAGTATTTGAATAAAATCATGCTCATAAATCCATGCAGCTGAATTCAAACCGCGGTTCCAAAAGAAGAAAGTGTGCGCAAGAGAAGAACTAGATGGAGCAGATTAAAGGAGGAGTGAAGGGTATCCCATTGTGCCCAGCTGATAGACTAGGTTAGGCTGATGTGATTACGGGGTCCCTGAAGTGCGATCTATCACACATTACCGTCCACACTGTCAACAACCATACAGACGCGCTGCGGGGGAACACCAATGCCAGGAGACAGCCGTCTGGCAACAGATACGCTGGCCTGCATGCACATGTGCACGCACAGAGATGCTCACGCAGGCGCACAATAACAATCATTATATATAATGTCAAAGCAACACAATCACTGGGAAAACGTGCCTGATTGGGAAGCCGACTTGACTGCACATTGTCTGGGGTTTTTTTTGTTTGTTTTTTTGGAGGGGGATGACTTGGGCCAAATGAAAGAAAATCTCTTGAAATAGAACCAGGGTCAGAAATGTTACCACGCCACCCCTTTGCCTGCACTACATCTGATGAGGATTCTTTTCTGTCTCGTCTTGTCAGCACTTTACTGTGGCAATTATTAACCATACATGCATTGTTGCTTTTTGTGAAAGCAAGCAAGAAACCTGTTGATCTTGGAACATTGAATATTATCCATCTATCCATTCAGCGATTTTCTCTAGCGCTTATTTTCATCAGGGTAAGCATATTCCAGCTCATTTGGGGCGAGAGGCAGAGTGAACCCTGGACTGGTCGTCAGTCAATCGCAGGGTGCATATATAGACAAACGGCCATTCACGTCCACGACAATTATGGTCTTCAATGAATTTAACATGCACAGTTTTGGAATGTAGGGGGAAGCCAGAGTGCCCTGAGAAAACCCACATAAGCAATGAGATATTTGAAGTCCAAACCTTAGAACTGAGAGACAGACATCCGAACCACTTAGCTATGGCTTGTAATAAGGTGTATTGTATGAGGTCAAAGGTTTGTAGTCTATACACGTCTTGCTTGTCAGAAAGTGATTTTTTTTTTTTTTTTGGAGAAATTTAAAGTTGAATTTTTCTAGTTGAATAACTACTAAGTTTTGAACTCAATGCATTATCGTGTTTATTGATCAGGATTTCAATATCGATCAAAATGATTCCGATTATTTATTAATTTATATCCAAATCGCCCAGCCCTACGGGGGAGAGAACAAAATCCCTTGAATTATCGCCATCACACTTCACCAAACAAGTTGTTGAAAATATTGTACCAGTTTTTCCTGCACGTCGGCCTGTGAGGTTGAAGTTCAAGACCAACTTTGAAATTCTTCAACTGGCCCCCATTTCCTCTCCAAATTTGCATGCTAGATGTTCTTGTAGGATTAAGGTGAGATTAAATGGTGTTTAAAAGTACGTGTGTGGTTTCTATAGCCTCCCATTGCTCCCTGCCTCCCCCCCTGCTCGAGTCTCCGTCGCAGTGTGAGTTCCACTAATCATTTCCCCTTCACACTTCCACTTTATACAGTGCACCCCTCCACTGACCCTTCAGCCCCCCACCTTGCCCATTTCTCGGTGTGCGCATGCCACTGTAAATAGCCTCCCCAAGTTCACATCTTCTTCTCTTTAAAAAATCGGAGCGTTCCTTTAGCTCCTTCGCTGACTCCCTCCCTCTGTCCCAGCCCAGCAGGCCCCATCCAAACGTTCAAGGACAAATCTGAATATCCCTTTTCACCGTTTAAGTGTTAAAAGCCTGGCGGTGGCGGGGTGTTATCTTAACGCGCCTTGCCGTGCCATCATCAGAGCGCGTGATGAAAATGGCTGTGATGATGCTAAAAGAAAAAAAAAGAGGAGGGGGAGAAAAAGTAATAATCAAATATGTTTTTCAAGGGCACAGTGACCATTTGCTGGGGGGAATTTATCCGAGTAGTTAAGCTTGCTCAGTCTGAGCCGAGTAGAGTTGGGAGAGTGGATGCATGTGCGTGCTTGCGGATTTGGCTTTGTGTATGCAAGAGTTGCATGGCATGTTTGTTTTGTTTTTTTTTTTTTTTTGCATGCATATGTTTTGTATCGTTTCTGCATCTTCTCAATATGTTTACATAGTTCCATGATACTTTTGTAGCCAGAGATAAACATTCTTTTAGTGTATCTGCCAAAATAAATAAATAAATAAATTTGAGTGAGTGTATCTGTATGTTTGTGTGTTCATATCTGTGTGTGTGTGTGTGTGTGTGTGTGTGTGTGTGTGTGTGTGTGTGTGTGTGTGTGTGTGTGTGTGTGTATGCTTGTTATTATAAATCATGGCCAAAATTCCCTCACCAATGATGGTTAGCAAGCGGTTCAACAGCAGTGGATTCCAAACTGCAGCGTCTGGTTGATTTTTTTTTTTTTTTAAATGATAAAGTGCTCTTTGAACACAGGGAGACGTTTCTCTCTCTGTTAATGTACTTATGATGATGAATTTTCTATTACATAGGGTTTAATGACTGGTGAGAATAAATCCAGAGGTTGTCCGCTGCGTACAGTTGAGGACAGTCAGCCCGTCTTTACTCTATATTGTAGTACTCACTTGAATCTGTATATTTTGTCATTTGTTGTATTTCAGAACATTTCTGATTGAATTAGAAAATATATTTTGAGACTTTCGTCGGACAACCGGCATCTGGTTGCGTTGCTCAATGTGCGGCAGGACTTACCGACGGAATTACCACGGAAAGCCTAATACACGATAGTGGGGGGAAAAAATATTACAGTAGTGGATGCATTAAGATGTTGGAAAATCCCTGCTGATTTCGACATAAAAAAAAAGGATTTCATTAAGACAAGAGGACAAATAGACTGTCGCTCAAATGGAAAAAAAAATTATGGTGCCTGTTTTGTGCACTAAACATGTTAAAAAGTTGACTGTCAACAGGAAATAAAAGCGTAGCTGTTTGACATGTCCTTTAAATTTAGTAGGAACTCAACATTTTTTGTCTGTATTTTTCTCCTCACTCCACCAAAGCCACGGTAATATATTCAGGTATTTAAAAGTGTTTGATTTGTTTAAAGTTGTAGAAGGGTTTTAGTCTCCTAGAGAGCCCGGATAACCCTAATCCACAACACACATTTTTATCAGTAGTTCATTGGCAGGGCTAAATATTGACTTATCATTAAGTGGAATGACTGAAACCCTAATAATAATTCACGTTGTCTAAGCACCTTGTGTTGATGCAGCGCTCCCTACGCTGTTAATGAATGTATGCAAATCCAACATAAATCTGAAGATTAGGGCCCAAGCGTTCCATGATGCTACAGAGAAAACAAGAGGTGTGTGTGTGTGTGCGATAAATCGTTGTCAACACGTACACACACACACACACACACACACACATTCACTCAAACACACAATGAGGACGAGGAAAAATAGTGCATGTTTTCAAACGTGAGCACAGATAATGCTTTCAAAAGACAGAGATTGCATTTCTGTTTAGTGTGTGATAATATAAAACAAAAGTTTAGAAGCACAATCGTAAACAGTGGATGCACAAATGCTAAAGGAACTTTGCGACGTTTTTTTTTTTTTAATGTACATAGAGGACCATGTTGATAACATTGGAGAATATAGTTGAAAGAGCATCACAGAAAAGTTTGGAGAGTAGCATTTTAAATACATTTTCAGGGCAGAGAAGATACAATACATGATTTGCCAAAAAAAAAAAAAAAAAAAAAATTGAAGTAAAAGCCGAGCCTTCAATGCTGCCTTCACAGACCCAAGCTTGGGATTTACCGTATTTTACCAATACACCTTTTTAACCGTACATCTATTCAATACAATGAATATGAAGTTCAATAGAAACTCATTTTTAGCGTTAAAATGGGAAGTCTCAAGAATTCCGTATGGTAATACTAACTCATATTTTTTTCAGTTTTGAAAAAGTGATGACACGTTTCCCTCGGACTGAATGTCCTTCAAAAGACAGTTAAAAGTTCCATTTAAAGTGACCTTATTGAAACCTGGTTGTTTTGTTGAACGACTTTTATGGTCCAGACAGTATCAACTGAAGGATGCCCAGTGAAATACAATGGGGGTTCTTTGCGACCATAAATTTTTGAGTTAGTCTTAGGGATAATGCGCCCCCAAGTTGATAACTCTCAATAGAGCCATAGCTATATGCAGACGGTGAACGGGTGCCAGCGCCGAGAAGAAAACTGGCGTAAAGGTGACGATGGCGAGAGGACAAGCGATGAGTGTAGAAAAGCTATCTGGAAAAGTGTTGAGCTGTTTATTTCCTCGTCATTGAAGCTGAAGTAAGGCGCTGAGGGAATTGGCCAGCGAGCCTCTGCTCTGCAACAGCTGCCGCCGCTAAGTGAGTTACCGGCCGTCACACTGCCTTTATGTCACACAATCACAAAGACGTCCACGCGTGCATATTGTGCTGTCACGCGGTGCCGAGGTTACAATGCACGGCAACGCGGCGACAGACCAGAGATGAGATTCTCTGCCTGATTGTGTCAGTTAATAGAGCAGCTCCACAGCATTTGATTTGCATGAGGAGTTAACACTGATGGAGGTGTTAGACAATAAGTTATTTATCACACCGCAACTAGCTGCAGTCCCATTAGAGGACAAGGCCGTGACACAAAGCAATGACTTGGTGTTTAATGTCTGCTGTCAAATAAAATGAGCTCCACAGCTGGAGGCGGACGGCACTCCGGATCAGCATGTCATCAACTGTTTGGATACACTTACTAAATACCTCATGAAAGTTGCATTATTTTAACCAGAAGCTGAATAATCGCCAAAGACCAGGGTCTAAAGGTTCTTATAGTTTTACCCGCACTGATTTAGAATGAGAGGCTTTTACTATTTGACTCTGGTTAAAATGCAATCTGTCCTTTTTGCTCAGGAAGAATATTGAAGTCGTTTTCCGCGTTGCTCATTTCAATTTCCAGTGCATCCTCACAGCAGGTGATTTGCTGACTCAGCTTTTATAGCAGGACAATATTATGGCCCTAATCCACTGGGAGGCCGCAGCATGACAATCCCTTCAGTTAAGCTGTGTTGATGTCTCACTAACCTGATTGCCTCAACCTGGGTAATTACCAGGGCCACAGGAGAGACGCTTTACCATCTTCGGCTCCCTCTGACTTTTGTTTCACCCTCACATCTCCGACCTCACCTTTTCCGCACGTACGCCAATGTCACATACCTGTACTTCTGCTGTGCTACTTTTGTCACTTCAGAACAGTCTTGAGACATTTTTATTGTGCACCACAGCTAGCAGCGAAACAATTTAGTTGTGTGTCAAGAAGCATACCTTCAGATGTGAGAAAATTGGCGGTACTCTACTTTGCTTCTAAAATTTATGCCAGATATTAGGATGTAAAGATAATCAAACATTCAGCTGTTTGACTCTCACTGAACAGAATACAAAAGTTGTTTTGTATCATAAAATAAGAACAATGTGTACTGCACTTTAAGATTCATTTTCAACTCAGGTTCATAAGACACTGTTTTTATTAATTTATATATGTATTTACTTTTTCTTAGTATTTTACTTGGTTTCTCTCAGCAACTTTGAATGTTGAAGAACACTAAATGAAACCCGGATTTTTTTTCTCATTATAACATGCAGAACATGTGACGTGATGGATATGCTTTAACCCTTTCAGGGACAGAGGTTACTACAGTAGAAAGCTTATTATGTTATCAGGTTACAGGGTGCATGTAAGGTTTAAGCAGCATGTTCCAATGCAATGAGGTGTGTACTACAGTATATTAAAAAATAAAATAAAAATTCCAAAACTCAAGGGAAAAAAGTACCTCTTGAAAAAAAAAAAAGTCAAAACAAACAACAACTCTGGCACTGTACAAAATTCAAAGGTTAACAAACAAAAATTTCACTGAAGCTTCCGTGGTCACTATCATAGATTTGCAGGTTAACAATCGCAGTCCTTGTCACGGCCAATAGTCCCCGTCGAAACATCACACTTATACTCACTCCCTCAAAAGTCCGAATAAAAAGACGAAAATGGAAATGAGCATCTACCTTTGACTTTTAGGTTGTATTTATTCAACATATTAAATAGGATGATTTGTACTCATACTCATTCATTCCCAGGCACTCTTTAAAAATATATATAGGGATGATCATATCACGCTTATTTGGTTTTGTGACCTTTAAATGTTCAGAAAATAATAAAATGGATCACCTGATACCAGATCACCTAATACCAGATCAACTGAAAATCACATGATCAGCCGCAGTTTCCAATCACGTGATTGGATCGGGACATCCCGACTTTTTTGTATTTTTGTTTTTTACACGTGGGAGGGGAAAGGAGGGTCTGAAAATGGCTGGCATTGAATGACTTTTAACTCGCTTCTTTTCTTCCTCAGGATTTTCCTGCTGTGCTCAAGAGTATATCAACTCATCAACATCTCTTTGCTGCATGGGCAGCGATGGAATCCCAACAATACATCCATCGGGCAATAATACAGTCAAACTGAAGTGCTGTGGGTCAAAGGTTGTACTTGAAGAACAAGAGTGCTGCAATGGAATTGGTTTTGATTCTCAACGGCACGTGTGTGCCAGCCGGCCTACACCAGGCCTTTTGATGGAGGTTTGTATCGGCCCGTTTTTTGATTCAAAAGTTTTATCCTGCTGATATTTTTTGATTCCACATGAGAGCATTGAGTGTAATCTTTTGATCAAAGTCATTTGGGAGGGAGTGTTTTTTTAACCATGTATTGTTTGTGACCTCTTAATTTTTTTGATCCCACAAACAATATAGCATAACCAACAATATCTCAATGCTGCTCCGAGCCCCGAGGAGAGACCTTTACATTGTTTCTGAGTAGGGCTTAGGCATCTCAATAAAATTTCTTAATCAGCTATAAGCTAAATTAATATTCAATTAATCAATTTGTTAACTTTGTGAAATATTCCAAATGACAATTGAGCGGAGCAACAGCCACATCCGGTTTGATGAGATGAACCCTTTGAGTTGGGGCCTCCTCTGTCTTCCATTCATCATTTCAGGTCAAGTGGTGTCAGCACACACACACACACACACACACACACACACACACACACACACACACACACACACACACACACACACACACACACACACACACACAGATAAATGCGCACCGTGGTGAGTGCACAAGACGTCAAAGGGTAGCAACCCATTAGCTGTAATGATGTCATTAAGGTCGTTGCATCACATATCTCACATCACACTTTTCCTGCTCAAAAGTATTGGGACATTTTGCTGTGACACCTTTTGGGCGTGAATATTGGTTAAAATATTTCCCTCCCAGGTTATAACAGCGTTACATTTTCTTATTTGCCCATTAGTTCTGAAGAAAGTTTGTTAGGTCCAACGTCATGTTGGACCTGGCCAGCCAATAATTCTAACTCGTTTCTTCATTGACCTTGCTTAGGACAATAGTCTCTAAGCTGCTCCCACAAAGTTTGAATTTTTGTAAAAATGTCCCGTATTGATGAGTATAAGAAATGTTTCTCACTATACTGAGCTGTGTCTTCCCCCTCTTCTTCAGAGTGGCTGTTTGCAGGGTGCCGTTTGTCCAGTGGCTGCATCCTCCACAGCCTACTGTGGCTCCTGTGACATTGACCCATCGAAGATCGCCTGCACGTGGGTCATGTCTGCACACCCTGACGCCCCCTCCGCTACATCCTCGCCTACGATCTACGCCACATCTGAGACACTCATCACAGGATCCCACACACATACAAACATCAGTTATCTGCACGCTGACTTTCTGGGTCATGTGGGGATCTTGTGTCCATCCCATGAGGAGGTCGTGTACAGCGGAGATGCCAGAAAATACACCTATACAGGTAACTTTTTTTTTTTGTCGTTGTCTAGAATAATTACAGTATATAACAGTAGCAGTTGTTATTGTTATGTTTGTGCTTTCTCAGCAGGGCACTTCTTTCGAACTTTCTGCCAGGGACTGCTGGTGTGCTCTGCTTCTCTTTTTATTCACGTTATCAAGCGATTTGTGTGCAATTGTATTTGTATAGAGTATTTACTTATTTTCCTGCTCCATGTGTTACAGTGGACCCTCAAGTTGAAATCAATCCAGTACGGAATGCCGGTTGAGCTCTGAATTCAATTGTAAATAATGGAAAATGCATAGCATAATAACATGAATGCTCATCTTGATCTTAATGGTTATATTTAATCACTGATAGTGTAGTGATTCACTCTGTTCCGACTCTGTGATAGTGTCAATGTGAGTGATTGCCTGTCTCTATATGATCCCTGCTATTGACTGGTAACCAGTTCAGGGTAGGATCCAAGTGAGCCCTCGTCAGGTTTTTGAGACCCGTTTTCCCGAAAAATCTGAATTGTATGCCCACCGCGCTTCTCTGTATTTCCATTGCTTTCTGTGTTTGTGTATGAGGTGGTTAAGATAAGATCCGAGGCGATGCTGTGACACCATCTGGGCAGAGGTACATAAAGCTGTCACCACCCGCCATCCGCCAGATGCTGCCCATGCACACATGCACGCACACACCGGTTATCACGCTTCCCTTCCAAACACATTGCGACGCTGACCGCAGTCACTTTTTAATCAAATACATGGACAGTTTTGAGGCGTGTGTCTATTTTCGGTAGCGCACCCTTTGTTTCATCGGCAAGTGCATTTTCACCACGTGTGTCTTTTTAGAGGCTGGGTTTTCATAGTAGTAAAGACATTAGTCCCAGACTGGTGGTTAAAACATGCTTTCATTTACAGCAACAGTCCCTTAGCTCTCCTAAAAAGGCATGCTACGTATTTGTGTGAGTGTGGGCCAGTCCATCGGGCATTATATATACTTCTGTACACATAGCCAAGCAGAAGGGCTGTAACAAGGCCCTAGTCACCGCCTCGCATTTACAGCTTGCCGGGCAGCGACCACTGCATTTATTTGTTATACGTTCGTGTAATGTCTGCTGCCATTGGCAATGCTCCCTTAGTGGTTTACACAAATTGAACTGCTGTTACTGTAAGCACATAATATTTAGGAGCGGCGCATTGACATGCTCCCTCTGTTATACTTCAGTGCGCAATAGCTTTTGAGTATTTTGACCCGTTTGAAAATATGGTATTGGTGTGGTTACGTGTCATGCTCCACTAACCCATACTGATACTTTGGTGACCTTATTTCGCTGCACGAGAGGGGCAAACTATTGGAAACTGCTCTCGGTGATCCCCAGTTCATCTGGACACCACTGCAAACTGCAAATGTTGGCTTGTAATGTCAGACATGTTCACAGTTCTTGTATTCTGTTGTTATGCATGTTTTGATGATTTTATGGTGACAAAGTGTATTTATATTCCTTGCCGAGTACAATCCAGGTCTTGCACATCGTAATTCAAAAGTCCTTGTTTCACTGAGATGCCTTGCTTCAAATAAACACCTATAGTGCTCTCTGCAAATGAGTTCGTATCCTCTGCCATGACCTGAAGAAATGTTGCATCGCTTTCCCCTCACCTTTATGTCACATTGCATTCATTGCAGATTCAGACTTGGAGCCCTTCACCACATACGAGTACAGAGTGAGGGGCTGGAACAACTTTGGCCGAGGCTCCAGCGATGTTATCACAGTGACCACCAGTGAAGACAAACCATGGGGAGTGCCCCCACCTCGATGGAGACGCCTGGACGAACGGAATGACGTTATCCAGTGGCATTGGCAAGCACCTGCTAGACCAAATGGTATGGATTGATCAGTCTATTCACCACTAAAGCGGTTAAATCGATGAAATATTTATCTTTTCTCTGCTATTGTTTTCCTTTGCGCTAGGAGTCATAACACACTATGTGATACTGCGTGATGGACAAGAGCGTTACCGCGGTGATGAGAAGAGCTTCACAGATGTGGGTGGAATCAGACCTTTCCAGGAATTTAGTTACCAGCTAAGGGCTTGCAACAGAGCTGGTTGCACTGATAGTACAAAGGTAAGGATTTATATTTTTAGAGTCCCCGTGAAGTGACGTAACATCTTCCGTTGGGCTTCCAAATATCGGTCCAAGAGAGAACCTTCACTGGAAAAAAATGATGCATTGAATTGACTCCGTTTTATTTCATCAAGTGGTTGCAACAGACTAAAAGCATCTGGATGCTAAGAAATTTGGAACTATAGTAGTGGTCTCCTTATAAAATATATCTGAAGTCAGATCATTTTATTTCACGCAACCACTTCACAAAATGAAATTGAGTAAATTCAACACCATATTTTTCAGTGCTCCTGAACAAGCCTGTTTTGCCTTTGGAATGCAACGAAATCAACTTTTTTGTTCCAGGCAGAGTATGAGTACAAGTAGCCCATTTAAGATTTGAGATTTGAGTACTCCCCGATAACAAGTACCGATACTTGATAATTCCATTTTGCAGTTGTGATGAAGATGACTTTGTATTTTTAACCAGATATTGTTCAAAAATGAACATGGCACAAATTTCACTCAAACATTACACGTTTCTATTCATTTATTTATTTAATTTTCATTTTTCTGTTGTTGGTTCCCATTCGATAAACAGAGCTTATGCTGCAGTGAGAATGTCCTCCTCCCAAACTTTCAACTGCTGGTTTGATGTTGCAGATGGCCACTAATGAGGCCTTGTTGGAGCTCTGCTTTCCAATTCTTGCTTATTTAATTCAATGCATTCTCCTCATTTTAACCTGTTTTTTACCGAACTATTTAAGGTTAATATATAACCTTAAATAATATAATAATATTATAATAATTTATTTATATTTATTTATTTATTATTATAAATAATAATAAAATAATAATAATATAAGGTTGTCTGTACACTATGTTTACAGCTTTGCTTTTTTTTATAATGCGATATTTTCACACTTTATGGATCTTTTGCTGTTTCCTTGTTAAAACGCAATGCCGTCCGTGCTCTCTCTCAGTTATGTGAGGTTGTGGATTTGCTGAGTCCACCTGATGTTTGTGATAGCATCCATAATAGCTTCACACAGTAACTCCCCTCTGCTATCTCCCAAGCTGTAGCTGAGCTGATATCAACACAACAATTAATTTCGCCGGCTTAGCACAGATGAAAGCTCCCGTTGAAAAGTGTCTGTCTTGCTTTTATAGCTGATTGAACGTGTATTGTTATTTGGCAAAAAGTTATGCAAAGAGGCCAAGGCGCCACCGGTAGGGCAGCGTGGAGGATGATGATGGCCGACTGGAACTTTTTGGAGGTTCAACCGTTTCATCACCGCTTACAGCATGAGGGATTGTTGCTTGCTCAACATAGTGTCACAGTTAGTATCACTCAACTTTAACTTTATTTATAAAGCACTTAAAAAACTGCAGCCACAACAAACTGCTGTGCATAATATCTAATAAAAATTATAAAACACAGTTAATGAAAAGGATTACCTCAAAATTATTTTTTGGAATACCAAGTGTAACCACTCAACCAAATCTATTTGGATTTTCTTTTCTCAATTCCCAACAAATTTTATCATGGGGAAATAATGGTGTCTTTTCCAAGATTCAAATCATGGATGTAATTAAAACAAAAAACAGTACCGGTATTCTTAATACACATAGCTTGATGTGCACAGTATATGCTTCTTATCACGTCAAGGCTTCTCCTTCCTTTGAAAGGGGCCTTACGAAAAAAAGTAAACCACTGCCGCAGAGTTCATTCATCGTTTGATGCTTGCTGATCTGATGTCTCTGAAATTTATAACCCGGCAATTTCAGTGATTCCAGTGCAAAATAATCGTGTATCCGCCGTCTATTCAACCCCAGTAAGCAAGCACAGTTAAACAACAAACTCCATCTCTGTAGTACAAACACACACACACACACACACACACACACACACACACACACACACACACACACACATACACACACAGAGCACACAGCCCAGCACACTCGGTCCCAGTAGAGAGTGGGAAGGAAGTGACTTGGATTAGTTTGTACACCAGCGAAAATTGGCCAAACATTCCCAATTATGAGACAAGGTGGGCTAACCTAATCCACCAGTGCAATTACCTGGCATCCACACACACCGCCGGGGTGCCTACCAGCACACGCAGACACCCGCTCAAGTGCACACCTGCCGCGACAACAGAAGGTGCTGATCTAATACGGTCGGTCATTCCGAGGGGTTGGAAGAGCGATTGGTCCTCCTTTTGTCTTGAAATGCTCGTGTCCCGTTGCCTCTGCTATTTGTCCGCTGTCATTCCTGTGATAGGAACGTCAGCCTCTCCCAGCTGTTGTCCTTACTTTTGCTTCTTCTCTACTCCCAAGCCTGCTCCTCCTTGCACTCTTTGGACTCCTTTGATGACAATCAACCCCCCTGCCCCCTTGTTTTGCCTGATGACATGTTCCCGAGTTGCTCAATATCCGCTGCTGTGACATCACAAGCAAGTTTTGGGGGATGAGAATCGTCTTGAATTGACGGTCTGATCTTATCTGGCTATTGTGTAATACACTCAGCAGCTCTTCCTCAAAATGACAGTATATTCAATGAAAAGCACCAACTTTATCACAATCTGAAGGGTGTACTATGGTTAACAACTGTGTTGTTACAAGAGTTGGTTTGCAATACATTCATATTCAATGAAAAGCACCAACTTTAACCTCTGCACTGTGAAGTCAACGTGCTAACCACTGGACTACCGGGCCGCCCTGTTTGCAATACATTTTTTTTTAATTAATGAATGAAATCTTGTTTTGATTCTCTTTGTTTTATGACCTTGTCTGAATTGGTTTTCCAAGTCAGTTTGTTTTTTCTGAACCATGTGGCTTGTGGAGCTTTTCAAAATGTTCACAGGGTGTAGTCTGTTAGGGCATGGGTCACCGGCGTGGTGCCCACGGGCAGCAGTTAACTCTCAAGGACCATACGAGTAGCGCGCAGGCCTGTTCCAAAAATTAGATGAGCAGTGATTGGACTGAGTAGCTCCCAGTATGAAAAAGGTTGGTGACCCCTTGCGTTAGGGGGACAGGACTGAGTCAGTTCCAAGGGAGCCAACTAAATTGTAACTTTCAACAACATTGTTTTGCTTTGTTGTTTCATCCTCACAAATACACTTTTAAGTGTCATTGAGATATAAATTAACACAAATATGTGAAATTATAACATATCTAGTGGATTTAAATATTTGTATTGCATGGGCAAGTTTTAGGAAGCAAAAAGGGGCGACAATTGCATATTTTTCCAGTCTTCAAGATTGATTATTCATATTTTAATTTGTATGTATTAAATGTGCAATCGAATTATTGTGAAGGACAGTTAGCTGAATGAAAAAAAGAAAAAAAAACGTTTTCTGGTGTTTTTATTGTGCATTTTTACATTTTCTCGCTTAGGGATGCGAATGGCTCCAATTTGTTAGAATGGCACAGAATACGAAAAAAAAACTAAATAAACGAAAATGGATGAAAATTTTGAATTTGTTATTTGTCTTTCTTTCCGTACACATAAATGTACATTTGCGTTTAGTGTGGCAATGCACGAGCGTCTCTCTAGCTGTAGTAGCCGTGTTCTAATTGCATAGCACGGTGCAGGACAGGTGGGGGAAGTGTCCGTGACAGTCTATTAGGGCAGGATATCCCCGTTGCCATTAGCAGCAGATTGCCCGGTGATTCTATGCTCTCACTTTTATCCGCCAGGCGACTACAGATACTGATAAACAGGAGCGTTCCCATGTAGGCCTAAAAATAATCATCTTTTTTTTTTTTTTTGTATGTGTCCAGCCTATTGTTATGACTGATGACAAAGTTTGAATTGCACAGTAATGTTTATTTACTTGTAAATTCCATTCATAGTTACTCTGTGATATGCATTTTTAATCGATACTTCTCTGAACTTTTTGTCATTTTTCCTTTTTCTGTATGAAAAGAAAAATTATATAAATCTCGTCGGCATAACAAGTAATACTTTTGAAACTGTTACAGATGGTGGCTGTAACGGTTCAAGGAGTCCCAGAGGGGGTCCAGTCTCCAGCGATAAGAGCTTTGAGCCCCTCCTCTCTTCACATGAGCTGGGTCCGACCTGCACGTCCCAATGGGAGAGTGCAGCAGTATCACCTGAACCAGACCGGTGTTGGCACCATTTTTACACACACCGAGGCACCCGGGAATTTTACACTAACTGGTAAAGGAACAATTTGTAATCTTCTTCTTGTTACCTTTTGTTCATTTTTTTTAAATTGTACTTTGACTTTGTCTCACTGCCTTTCTGTCGTTTTGTACTCTCACCAATTTTCCGTTTGCCACT